TCCTAGCTTCTTGAAGGTGGGCAGCACTCAGCCAACACCAACTGCACCAGAGCAGCATGAGCAGATCTGAGTGCTATAATAAAATCAAAATGCGCTTCAATAAAGTATTACTTTAAGGGTGTGCACACTTTTGCAACCACATTATTTTAGCTTTTTATGTTTACTTCCCCCTCTAAAAGATTTCTGTTTGTTTTTCAATTGAGTTGTACAGTTTATAGGTCACATTAAAGGTGGAAAAAGTTCTTAAATGATTTATCTTTCTCTCATTTTTTTACATCACAGAAACCTGACATTTTAACAGCAGTGTGTAGACTTTTTATATCCACTGTAAATGATTAACATTTTTTTTTTTTTTTTTTTATGGTTTAGTGAGAGAGTTACTTTATGTATATGTATGTTGAATGAAGTACAGTAACAAATAGCAAACACTTAGAAGTCTGATTATTATGGTCCACCTGGTGAAGAATAAATTCCAGGTTTTTGCTATGGCTTAGTGCCCGTTTTTTGTTTTTTTTTTCTTTGTCTTACTGCATTAAAAATTGAAAACAATTATCCCAATTTTACCTTATTCTGAATGCCATTGCAGCCAGGTATGGAATCATTGGGCATAATTATATGTTGTACGCCATTGCAATATTGTAATGATATGTTGTATACCATTTTGTATTTGAGCCTGTTCCTCTGTCACATCACACATTCTGAAAAAAAAAAAAAGGAGTAGCTGGTTATTAGACATGCACATCTGAACAGTATTATTTACATGTACTTCATGATCTCATAGAAAACATTTCCTTTCCTCTGTATAAACATATTTATATGCTCGGTAAACTGCTAGAGCGTCTATCTTTTCTTCCTGTGCAGAGAACGCCTGAAAACTATTACTGCCTTTAATTGTACAGCAGTTTTCAGGCGCCGCTGTATCAAATGTTGAATAGAGAATAATCCATTAAAATAGCTGACTCCACCCCTTGTGTGTGAGCGTGTGAGTGTGTATGCGTTTTTATTAGTCCCTGAAATGAAGTGATAAAGTACAGCCGGAGTATTACAGTTGATCTCACCTCATGCCCTAGGCTTTGCAAATCTTGGGAAAGATTATAGATGCATGGTGCCTCGTCTGATATTTGAAGCAAGAATACTTTATAACTGAAATCTGTCTTCTCCGGGGGATGAAAGCCAAACAAATTTAAGGATTAAATCACACAGAGGTATAATCCCACAGGAAAACCTGCTTCAGTTATTATGATTATATTGTGATGAAGGCAGAGCGCTTGTGAATACCATTGCAGGAAATCATTTTTTTCTGCTTCCGAATGGTAGATTAGAAGACATTTTTTTCCAATGAATAATAAACTCAGTGCATGCAGTTCCTCTCTCTAGTCATAGTTTAAGGACGGTGTATGTGCGTGTGTGTGTACAGTACGTGTGTGTAGTATCCCAAATGAATATAGTGTTTAACTGTATATACATAGGCACAGCAAGACCGATTTAATATGCCATTGCAAGCTATGAGTAAATGCAAAGCAGCCAACCAGACTTTACTTTAGTCCAACTAGTGCAACGAGTATTCCTGATTAGCCACTGAGGACTATTGTATTCTGCTCATCATCATTGCTGCTTGTATTGACTTACTGAATGAGGCTATGCATGTGTTTGGGGTTTTTTTTTTTATCACCGAGCTTTTAAAGCTGAACTCTGGGATCAACAAATATTGTATAACTATAAGAGTCATTGCCCGACGTTGCCCGAAAGACCGGAAGTAGCGGAGCAGCCATCTTTAGTGTGGTAAACACAGTCTGGCGTTCCCGGAAGCGGCTTGAGGTAGAGTCATGGGATTTTAATGCAAATTTTAAATGGTTTATATGTAAGCAGATACTATTAAAGCGCGGAATTTTATACCTTCATACATATTGCACTATATGGCTTTGTTTTTGCCTCTATGATTACTATGGAGCATAAGAAGGTGGAAGTAATGAAGTGAGCATTTAACCTCCCTGGAGGTATTCCCAAGTGTAGCTCGGGGCAGGGGCGGACTGAAAACTCATGGGGCCCCCGGACAATAGGGGATCACGGGGCCCCTGTGTCCTTGCCCAAACTCAAAAAAACCTTTGAAAAAGGTACCAGGGGCATCTCATGGGGCCCCTACTGACCCCGGGCCCTCGGGCACTGCCCAAGTGTCCAAATGGTCAGTCCGCCCCTGGCTCGGGGTAAAGTTTCAGCACCACAAGCGGTAACCCCGAGCTACACTCGGGCTTACCATGCGGCGCTGCTCCCAGGATCTCTTCTTCACTTACCTTTTCCTGCGCTCCCTCGATGTCCCTCCAGCAGTGTCCCCAGCAATGTCCTCCGGCCGATGACAGCATCTGTCATCTGGGTTCCCTGCAACGTCAGGATGTACGGGGACGGATGGGTGAAATTTGAAAATTGTAGAAGTGACATTCACTAAAATCACATAGTAAAACATTACTGTATCAAACCGTTTCACATACATTTTGTCCCTAGTGCTTTGTCCTGTGCCCTGCCTGCATTTTTACCGTTCTTTCTGCCTGGAAACTGAGAAAAGTCCATGGCGTCCAAAAAGCGTCCCTTTAGGTCAAAAGCGGTTTTAGCCCAGCTAGAGAACAGCGATAGTAAATTAGAACCACTTGCAGAATTGAGTGATAATGATTTGTGGGGAAATTCGTCATCAGACACTGAAAACTATTCTGCGACTTTTGCTCAGTGATGTGCGAACTTGGCCCTCTATTTCAAATTTCAGTGTTTTTGGTTTGATTATATTATTGAATTAAATGTATTATTATTATATTATTTTTTTTATGATTATTTATTAAATTATAATTTATGATTTCGTGTTTCAAATTTGAACATACCCGGAATGTTTACTAGACTCTTGTTCGGACAGATTTCAGTGAGTTATTCCTAAAAATTACAGGCCTACAATAAAAAAAATACATATTTCCATGCAAATAAATGTACCACTTTGAGCACAGAAATATGGACATAATCAGACCGCTAGGGAGGCTACTCACTGAGCTTTTAAAGCTGAACTCTGGGATAAACAAATATTGTATAACTATAGGAGCCATTGCCCGACGTTGCCCGAAAGACCGGAGGTAGCGGAGCAGCCATCTTTAGTGTGGTAAACACAGTCTGGCGTTCCTGGAAGGAGATTGAGGTGGAGTCTCGGGATTTTAATGCAAATTTTAAATGGTTTATATATGTAAGCAGATATTATTAACCTCCCTGGTGGTATTCCCGAGTGTAGCTCGGGGTAAAGTTTCAGCACCACAAGCGGTAACCCCGAGCTACACTTAGGAATACCCTGCAGTGCTGCTCCGGGATCTCTTCTTCACTTACCTTGTCTTGCGCTCCCGCGATGTCCCCCCTGCAGTGTCCCCAGCAATGTCCTCCAGCCGATGCCGGCATCTGTCTTCCGGGTTCCGTTCCCTACGACGTCGGGAACGGAAGGGAGGCTACTCACTGAGCTTTTAAAGCTGAACTCTGGGATCAACAAATATTGTCTAATTATAAGAGTCATTGCCCGACGTTGCCCGAAAGACCGGAAGTAGCGGAGCGGCCATCTTTAGTGTGGTAGACACAGTCTGGCGTTCCTGGAAGCTGCTTGAGGTGGAGTCATGGGATTTTAATGCAAATGTTAAATGGTTTATATGTAAGCAGATATTATTAAAGCGTGGATCTTTATACCTTCATACATATTGCACTATATGGCTTTGTTTTTTCCCTCTATGATTACTATGGAGCATGAGAAGGTGGAAGTAATGAAGTGAGCATCTAAGGGATCTGAAGGCTTCCATGTGGATCTAGTTGATGTATATCCCTCTCTGGATTTTTATATTCATATAAGGCTGGCATATTTTTGCATTAGGGTAAGGGTATGTGATTCAGCCACTTAGATGTGCCACTGAATGTTCACGGAGAAGTGTATATATAAATATTACACAGAGTGTTTCACTATCACAAGTGTTTTCACAATTTTTATGTTTTGGTGCACAAAAACAATGAGGAATTATTTGGGCAATTACCGTATTTTTCGCTCCATAAGATGCACTTTTTTCCCCCAAAAAAAGGGGGGAAAATGTCAGTGCGTCTTATGGAGCCAATGTAAAGCGGCCGGTCCGGTATATCTGCTGCCACCATGTCAGAATATCGGGCTGGCCGCTCAGCTCTTCTCTCCTGCAGGACCTTACCTGTTCCTCGGTCCAGCGCTGCAGTCTTCTTGCGCCCGCTTCTGTGACAGCCGGGTGCCCACTGCGTATGCACGAGAAGCGCTGCGCTTTGTGAATGGTCCGGTGTCTTCTGGGACACATGACAGGTCCCAGAAGGCTCTGGGCCATTCACAAAGCACAGCGCTTCTCGCGTATGCACAGTGGGCACCCGGCTGTAACAGAAGCCGCTGCGGGAAGAAGAAGGAAGGACAACTCTGCGGAAGTGGGAGCGGGTACCTGTCAAATTCAGGTACCCGCTCCCCCTCTCTCCCCAAAGGTCCGCAGTCTCTGGTAATCTCCTTTACTGTCTGCAGTCTCTGGTCATCCCCTACACTGTCTGCAGTCTCTGGTCATCTGTACTATGTCCACAGTCTCTGGTCATTCCCTGTACTATGTGTCCGCAGTCTCTGGCCATCTCCTGTACTGTGTCCGCAGTCTCTGGTCATCTCCTGTACTGTGTCCACAGTCTCTGGTCATTCCCTATACTGTGTCCACAGTCAGTCTCTGGTCATCTCCTGTACTATGTCCGCAGTCTCTGGCCATCTCCTATACTGTGTCCACATTCTCTGGTCATCCCCTGTACTGTGTCCACAGTCTCTGGTCATTCCCTATACTGTGTCTGCAGTCTCTGGTCATTCCCTGTACTATGTCCGCAGTCTCTGGTCATTCCCTGTACTATGTCCGCAGTCTCTGGTCATTCCCTGTACTGTGTCTGCAGTCTCTGGTCATCTACTGTACTGTGTTCGCAGTCTCTGGTCATCCCCGGGTACTGTGTCTGCAGTCTCTGGCCATCTCCTGTACTGTGTCCGCAGTCTCTGGTCATCTCCTGTACTGTGTCCGCAGTCTCTGGTCATCTCCTGTACTGTGTCCGCAGTCTCTGGTCATCTCCTGTACTGTGTCCGCAGTCTCTGGTCATCTCCTGTACTGTGTCCGCAGTCTCTGGTCATCCCCTGTACTGTCCGCGGTCTCTGGTCATCTCCTGTACCGTGTCCACAGTCTCTGGTTATCTCCTGTACCGTGTCCGCAGTCTCTGGTTATCTCCTGTACTGTGTCCGCAGTCTCTGGTCATCTCCTGTACTGTGTCCGCAGTCCCTGGTCATCTCCTGTACTATATCCACAGTCTCTGGTCATCCCTTGTACTGTGTCCGCAGTCTCTGGTCATTCCCTGTACTATGTGTCCGCAGTCTCTGGCCATCTCCTGTACTGTGTCCGCAGTCTCTGGTCATCCCCTATACTGTGTCTGCAGTCTCTGGTCATTCCCTGTACTATGTCCGCAGTCTCTGGTCATTCCCTGTACTATGTCCGCAGTCTCTGGTCATTCCCTGTACTGTGTCTGCAGTCTCTGGTCATCTACTGTACTGTGTTCACAGTCTCTGGTCATCCCCGGGTACTGTGTCTGCAGTCTCTGGCCATCTCCTGTACTGTGTCCGTAGTCTCTGGTCATCTCCTGTACTGTGTCCGCAGTCTCTGGTCATCTCCTGTACTGTGTCCGCAGTCTCTGGTCATCTCCTGTACTGTGTCCGCAGTCTCTGGTCATCCCCTGTACTGTCCGCGGTCTCTGGTCATCTCCTGTACCGTGTCCACAGTCTCTGGTTATCTCCTGTACCGTGTCCGCAGTCTCTGGTTATCTCCTGTACTGTGTCCGCAGTCTCTGGTCATCTCCTGTACTGTGTCCGCAGTCCCTGGTCATCTCCTGTACTATATCCACAGTCTCTGGTCATCCCTTGTACTGTGTCCGCAGTCTCTGGTCATCCCCTGTACTGTGTCCACAGTCTCTGGTCATCTCCTGTACTATGTCTGCAGTCTCTGGTTATCTCCTGTACTATGTCCGCAGTCTCTGGTCATCCCCTGTACTATGTCCGCAGTCTCTGGTCATCTCCTGTACTGTGTCCGCAGTCTCTGGTCATCCCCTGTACTGTGTCCGCAGTCTCTGGTCATCCCCTGTACTGTGTCCGCAGTCTCTGGTCATCCCCTGTACTGTGTCTGCAGTCCATTGGTTCAGAATATTTTTTTTTTCTTGTTTTTCTCCTCTAAAACCTTGGTGCGTCTTATTGTCAGGTTCGTCTTATGGAGCGAAAAATACAGTATTTATGTATTTAATATTTTTTTGAGGATAATGCACTATTGAGTTTTCTTTGTTTTGAGGTACATGGCAATTATTGGATTCATACAGAAAATTTTTACAGAAATTGGAGAAGGATTTATGGACTTATTATGGGTGCTATTTTAAATATTTTAATGGACACTAAAAAGGTTTATTATAATTGCTTCCTTGAATCTTGGTGTACTTTATTTCTTCCAAATCCATGCAGTATTCCTGGGTGAAACGTTTCCTCTGTGCAGGAGTTTCCTGTAATAAAGACTAGTCCCTGCTTCTCTCTCTTCTTGTTCAGGGTGAGTGGTCTTGTCTCCGCCCACTTCTATAGTTTTCTGCAAGCAGCCTATAGTGTGTGTGGCCTGCCCTCCCACAGCTCTGATCTCAGTGCAGGGATAATGTCACTTCTACTTTTATTGTAATAACCAGGTTTAATGCATGCAAAGTGGATTCTCTTAGATTGTAAGCTCTAACGAGCAGGGCCTTCTTAATCCTCCTGTAATTCATTTGTATTGTAATTGTACTGCCTGCCCTTATGTTGCAAAGCACTGCGTAAACTGTTGGCGCTATATAAATCTTGTATAATAATAATTTCTATTTTTTGTAGAGCTATTCACCCTTAGGTCATCACAGAGGACAAGGGGGCACTCTTTACGTCTGGAGGAAAAGAGATTTAATCTCCAAGCATGAAAAGGTTTCTTCACAGTGAGAGCTGTGAAAATGTGGAATAGACTCCCTCAAGAGTTGGTTCTGGCCAGCTCAGTGGATTGCTCCAAAAAAGGCCTGGATTGTTTCTTAGATACACAGAATAGAACTGGATACTAACATTTATAGGTAAAGTTGATCCAGGGAATATCCAATTGTCTCTAGGGGGATCAGGAAGGAATTTTTTTCCCCTGCAGGAGCAAATTGGATCATGCTTTGCTGGGTTTTTTTGCCTTCCTCTGGATCAACCGTGGGTATAGGATTATAACTTTTTTTTTTCTATGGTTGAACTGGATGGACTTTTGTCTTTTTTTTAGCCAGACTAACTATGTAACTATCAATGCACTGTTTAATTGTTGTTATAAAAGAAGATCTTCAATCCCCACCAAAAAATTAAAAGTCAGCAGGTACAAATACTGTTTGTGACTTTTAATAACCACTCCCCAGCCGCCCCATGGCAGTTTTACTGCTACTGGGCGCCCACTCTGTGCAAAATCACATATATATAAGTGATGTTGCATTTTAGAGCAGGGAACTTGCGCACACACTATCCTACCCACCAGAGGCATCACTAGGGTTGGTGTCACCCAGTACGGTAACATGTGGTGTCACCCCGGTCCCAGGCTTTGTGTTGGGAGACGGAAGGATGTCCTGTGCAGGGACCGGCCAATGATGTATGATGCAGAGCGACAGGCTCTAGGCGAGGTCATTACCATTCATGGACTGACATGTAGAATAGGAGCGGTCTAATCAGAGGACGGGGGTGGGCGCTGTTCCAGTTCATGGGGGGGGACAGGTTGGGTGTGAATTGGCCTGTGAACTGGCATTTTCCCCCCCCCTCCCCGCTGGGACCCGACATCTCACCCCCCACATGGCACGGCTGTTCCTGGTGGGGCTGCAGGAGGGATGAGGAGCCCCAGTACCCGGGGAAAGGATGGGAGACACTCCGCTCGGATGGATGACAGCCACTGATTGCTCTTCTTTCCATTTTGGTGTCACCCCCTGTCATTGTGTCACCCAGTGTGGCCCGCACCCCCCTAGCGATGCCACTGCTACCCACGCTGTCATTGGCTCCCGTAGGTGTCAATCCCTGGGTCCTGACCAGCAATTCACGGTAGGAACTCAGTGATTGGCTGAGCAACTGACAAGAGAGAGATTTGTAAATGTAAACAACACAGATCTCTCTCCTGTCAGAGAGATGTGCTGGATTTTATCTCCCTGAACAGTATGAAGATAAAAGCCAACAGATCTCCTTGTCAAACATGAAAAGGTACACAGTCTAAGCACTCCCTGACATAACGTTATCCCTTAGATCACCCCAGATGTTAACCCTTTCCTGCCCAGTGTCATTAGTACAGTGTCAGTGCTTTTTATTAGCATTGATCACTGTATTAGTGTCACTGGAGATGTCAGTGTCAGTTCCCACCCAGTGCCAGTTAGTGTCAGAATGCCCACCGTACTATCAAAGTCCCCTTATAAGTCGCTGATCACCACCATTACTAGTAAAAATAAACAAATAAAATTCCAGTATATATACCGCCATTTGTAGACACTATAACTTTCATGCAATTAATATACACTCAGTAGGATTTTTATTACCAAAGATGTAGCAGAATACATTTTGGCCTAAATTTATGAAGATTTTTTTTTATGTTTTATAGCAAAAAGTAAAAAATTGTTTTTCTTGTTTTTTTCATTTGTAGCAAAAAATTAAAAACCCAGGTTTTAAAATAGTCAGACCAGCCCATCTGGCACCAACATCCATGCCATGTTCAAAGTCACTTAAATCCCCTTTCTACCTTATTCTGATACTTGGTTTGAACTTCAGCAAGTCATCTGCACCACTTCTAGATGCCTAAATGCTTTGAGTTGCTGCCATGTGATTGGCTTATTAGCAATTTGTGTTAACAAGCAATTGAACAGGTGTACCTAAGAAAGTGTCCGGTTATTATAATTATTATATTATAATTATACAGGATTTATGTAGCGCCAACAGTTTGCTCAGCACTTTACAATATAACGGGAGATAATACAGCAACAATACAGTTCAATACAAGAGGGATAGGAGGGCCCTGCTCCTTGAAGCGTATTGGTGGACATTTGAGCAAAAAAAAACAAACAAACCTAAAGGATTTATTTATTAAGGGCAAATAGGTTGTTCACTTTTCAAGGGAAGTTGCACTTTTCAAAAAAAAAATAAAATTCCACAGATACTAGTGAATGTGGTGAAATTTTTTATTACAAAAAAATACCCAATCGCATTCAAAGAGAATAGGTTGTAAGCGCTAACAAGCAGGGCCCTCTGTTTCCTCTTGTACCAAATTGTATTGTAACTGTAATGTCTACCTTCATTTTGTAAAGCGCTGCGCAAACTGTTGGCACTATGTAAATCCTGTATAATAATAATACAAAAACAGCATATTTGCTTGCACATTCTTGGAAGATGGAGGTAAGCAGAGCCTAACTTCATTCATTAAGCTCTGGGTAAAATTCCTTTGCAAAGTGCAACTTACTTCGCAAAGTGAATGTTCTGTTTGTCTTTAGTAAATCGAACCACCTATTCAAGTGAAAGTACCAGAAGCCACAAAGATATTCAAAATTTGAATCAGTACAATTTGTGTCATGGTAAAATCACAGGTTACAATCCCTTTTCATATGCAAACCATGTGAGTTTCCATATAATAAAAAGAGAGAGTTGAAAGGGATTCAGAATGAAAACCACCTTAGGGCAAAACAATTTTATATCCAGCCCTTACGCCGGCTATACGTGGATAGAAATTTGGCCAGTTCAGTAGGCTGAATTTTGATTTATGTATTAGCACCCTGGTTGTGCACAACTTGACCTATTCATGTACAACCAGTTGTTGTTTTTTCCTGAACGATTAGTACCGCTGGCTATAACCGGCAACACTGATCATTGTATTCTGACAGCAGGGAAGGTTCACCGACTGCAAAACACAATAGCGCTGAAGGAGGGAATTCCTTGCCAACATTGACTGTGTTGATGGGGGAATTTAGCAATTTTCTTTCCTTCCACCATCATCCATAATCTATGGCTTGCCTTAGTGGAGCTCTGTAGTGACTGTGGTTTACTGATCCTATTATCTTAGTACAAGTCTATGGCAAAGGCAAAAAAAAGCTGTTCACTTTGCAGTGAAAGTTGTCCTTTACAAGATAATTTTCCCCGGGACTTAAGGAAAGAGCAGGGACGGACTGACAACTCATGGGGCCCCCCGGGCAATAGGAGATCATGGGGCCCCTGTGTCCTTGCCCAAACTCAAAAAAGCCTATGAAAAAGGTACAAGGGGCATCTAATGGGGCCCCCTACTGACCCCGGGCCCTTGGGCAGTGCCCGAGTTTCCAAATGGTCAGTCCGCCCCTGTGAAAGAGGCAACGTTTTGCTGACTTCTATTATTCAATTTCTTGCACATGATTGGATATCCTTTTGTAAAGTGAAATTTCAGCACATTCACTAAATTCTAGGAAAAACTCCCCTTGCAAAAGTGCAACTTCC